TCGGACGCTTAACCGACTGCGCCACCCAGGCGCCCCTCATATGGCTATTTTAAAGTGATATTAATATCACTGGATACTAACTAACAAGTTGCTTTCCAGTCCAACAGGTAAAGAGCTCTGTCTTAACAACAAAAGTTGAACAAAATGAAAGTCAACAAATTTGCAAACTATACGCTAAGTGAAACAAGTCAGTCACAAAAGGCTGCATATTGTATGACTGTATGTATATGAAATTCTGTAACAAGCAAATGGACAAAGAGTCAATTCTTGGTTGTCTGGGGCTGGAGCTGGAGGAGAAGCAGGAATGAGGAATGACTGCTAATAGGGACAGGGTATTCTTCTGGGGGAATGAAATGTTCTCAAATTAGATGGCTGCACAACTCTAGGATTACACTAAAAACCACTGAGCTGTACAATTGTAAATGGGTGAGTTGTATCTCAATAAATCTGCTTAAAAACTAGAATTTGAAGTAATAAATAAAACTCTTACCACAAAAAAGAAAACCATAAAAACTACCAGATTAGTCAAATGCCTACAAGTAAACGTAGCAGTAAAATACGAAAATAAAAGCTGGTGAAGAAGAATCTCTAAAATTTATATTTTATTTAACTTCTGCTTAATCCTCCTGCTATATTTGACAGCCCCTTTCCTATTGGCTTCACCCATGTGGATTTAAAGGCCATGTATAAAAAGGGTTTTCCGTAGAGCTTATGGGTAGGGAAAGAAGTTCAACACAGTAAAAGTCATATCGTAAAAACCAGAATATCTCATTCAGCAAGTCTGTGAAATTTTACTTCTGATAAGACCTAAAACTGCTAAAGTAGCAATAACAATCTAAGAAGCTCAAGCAGATGAGACAAAGTATTTTGAGCTCTATGACTCATAAAATGGAACATTTTAAAGGCTAATAATTTTTTTTAAAGAAATCACGTTTCTAATATTATCAATTAATAAAAACACATTTACCTGTATTCCACAGGCATAATCTCAGCAGCAAGATTCTCAAAACTTTTTGTAGCAGACGCATCTAAACAACAACAATGAAAGATCAACATTTCAGCATTTCTATCATTAAAAAAAACTTTTAAAAATCCAACAAAATTCACCTGTTTGGTTTAGATGATCTTGTTGCACTTGTGAACATCGAAGCTCTTCATTCGTTTCTTTCAGAGTATCACGTTGTTCTATTAGTCTCTAAAAAAGAATTGTTTATATGAGCAAAACAATTGTTTCCACAAGAAATGTACATTATGGTTATAACAATTTATCTTAGCAAACTAATTTCCTAATTGTTACTTAGCTATTTAAAAATGATGGGGCGCCTGGGTGGCGCAGTCGGTTAGGCGTCCGACTTCAGCCAGGTCACGATCTCGCGGTCCGTGAGTTCGAGCCCCGCGTCAGGCTCTGGGCTGATGGCTCAGAGCCTGGAGCCTGTTTCCAATTCTGTGTCTCCCTCTCTCTCTGCCCCTCCCCCGTTCATGCTCTGTCTCTCTCTGTCCCAAAAATAAAAATAAACGTTGGAAAAAAAAAAATAAAAAAAAAAATAAAAATGACAATATTTGGGGCGCCTGGGTGGCTCAGTTGGTTTAGCGTCCAACTTCGGCTCAGGTCATGATCTCACGGTC